GCCGTGGGAGTAGAAGGTTTTCCATGGTGAAGTTCCCTGGCCACCAGCCACAGGAGCTGCAATTCTGATCTCACCAGTACCAGCAAAAGGGAGCAACTTGTGCAGAGGACAGTGTGCCCTGGACCATTATGCAAGGCCTTTTTCTAAGCGGAGTGTTGATCAAAATCGTCTTCAAGGTCCCTTGCCACAGTGACAGCCCACCACCTGTCTCCAGAGCTTCCTAAAGGGTAGCATGGAGCAGGAGGAAGCCTGGTGAGAGAGGGCCTCAGTCTCCCCATCTGTGCCCTGAGGGTGATGGCTGGACAGGAGGCGCTAGTTCTGCCTGAGGGTGAGAGCTGGGGTCCTGGAGTTAGGGAACCCAGGTTCCAATCCCACCACAGCCTCTGCCATGGTGGACAAGTTCCTTAAACTAAGCCTGTGTTTCCTCATCTGCCAAAATGAGAAAATGATCATCCGTGGCCACCGAGGCTATGGAGAGGCTGAAATGAGTTTATTCCTGTGAAATGCTCTACACGGGGCTGGGCGCATGGCAAACACCCAATCAACAATGGTTACTTTTATCACCCCTGGGGAGAATCTGCCGTTGCCTACACCCTAGGAGCCAGCGTGTCTCCCTCCCACTCTGCCCCTGGGCTTTGACTCCCTGGATGCTCCCAGTCCTGGTCAGGAAGTGCTTCGCCTCCCGAGGCAGCCAGGGAGTTGGACTCGTCAGGCGGGAGAGGCGCCAGTGGACATGATGTTCCTTCCCAGGAATGGGAAAGCGAGAATGTTCCTGGGCAAGGAACAGGGCTCTGGGGCAAGCACGCCGGGAACATCCACTCCCCCTTCCCTGCTGCCCAGAGCCTTGCCGGCCTCCAGTGCTGGGCCCTGTGGGGAGGAAGACACGTTACAGGGGTGGCCAGGCTGGCATGGGGCCCTGGCCCATCTGTGCACACCCTTGCAGAGTACACAGCCTTACACATTCCCAAATAGCCCCACAGCCCTGCACACACACGCTGGCACACTCACTGGCATTCTGAGAAACGCGTCCACTCGTCCACACCTCGTGGCTGAATACTCATCTCTGTTCATTGGTACTCATGTAACTAACGGGTCCGAAGTCCCGGCCCCGTGTGCACGCACTCACACGTGCACAGGATATTTAATCATTCACATCACTTACCATACTTACAAATGCACACACGTTTACCTGCACAATCACACAGGTGCTGATACTCATGAATACGCATAGGAAGGTGCATACCATAAACATGCGCACACGTGTAACTCCACACATGACCAGATACACCAAAATCCCCCAGCCTTTTAGCCTTCTGGCAACATCCATGACTGTCCTCTCCAAATAAAACAACTCAAGCTCTGTCCCCATTACTCCGAGAAGCACCCTCTCCCCACTGCTCCCAAGGCGTTCAGCCGCCCTCTCCAAGGTCATCTGTCCTCCTGACCTTGCTCCAGGCACCTGAGATGCACCTTCTCTTCTGCACCCATCTTTCATTCCGAAATGCCACTGACAGGGGGTCCTGTGGCCACCAGGCTTTTGTGGAAAATAAAGGAGTTGGCAGAAAACAGCTCTTTGCTCCCAGAAACTGGGTGACAATTTTCTGTCTCCATAGAGTGCACTTCTTGCCTGTTTTAGGGGTTCCATCTTCATATCCTTGTCACACCCCTGTTTCCCATCATTCTGAGCCCTTGCCCCCAACTCAGCTCCCCAGACTCCATGCAGCAAGCCTCTGCAACTCCCAGGGAGCAAAGCCCAACGTCACTTAAGGCAGAGGAATTTAGACATCACATTCGTTTCTCCTTCCCCTTCCAGGTCAGGGCCCAAAGAAGCCCATTAAGGCGTTTTCCTAAACAAATAGTAATAATAATAATAGCAACAACAACAACGTTAATAATAAAGCTATGTCAGAAAAGCTCCTCCAAGGTTAATTGTGTTTCTCTTCCCAAGGGCAAAAGTAGCTTCAGTCACCATTTGATGTTGATGCTGTTTTAAATATATGCTCACACTCACACACACACACACACTCTTTCTCACACACACACACACACACACACACACACACAAAGACAGTCATGAAAAATTAATTTCCTTTTTCCTGCTCTCCCCAACTCTGCCCTCCCATCTTCAGATCAGTTACAGGAAAGGAAGAGGCTGAGCCCCCAAAGAGATCTCAGAATAAAGGAGAGTGGGGAGGAGGGGGGTGGGAAGGACAAATCCTGTTAGGAAAGGGGGCAGGGAAGAAGCTGAACTGGCTCAGTTTTGGAAGGCCCCGTGTGTCACTGACTCATACCTGCCCTTCCCTACCTCTCCGCCTCTGCTCTCAATGCCTCCCCTGTTATGGTCCCATCAACCCTCCTAGCTCTGCTGGGCCAAGGCCCCCCTCCCAAAAGCCTAGGCCCCTGTCAGTTCAGAGCAACCCTTTCCCACACTATGGGCTGTCGTGGGCTTCTGATAAAATTCTCTCCACTCTTAAATTTGTGGGGCAACCCTGGGGACCACTGTCTGTCTCCTCAGCTCTGTTGGGAGCTCCTGAGGAATAGGGCCCATGTTTCCCCAGTTTTGGGTCCCCAGTAAACCCACACAGCTTAGCACAAAGAATGCTCAATAAATTACACATCTTTATCCCCTCTCAGTATCTATATGTCATTAATATCAGTACCACCTGTATCTCTCTACATAGTAGTTTAGGGCAGGAAAGGCTGCCTGGCTCACCCCCAAAATCCTTGACCTGAACAACAGAAAGCCTAATTTCTGGTTCTGCCTCTACCGTTCACTGGCTTTTTGATGCTGGACAGGTCATTTAGCTTCTTCAGATCTCTTCTCTCATGTGCAAGTTGAAGGAGTTGAACAAGGACAGAGGTTTTCAAACCGGGTTCCATGGAACCCTAGGGATCCAGGAAGATGTGAGGGTGAGGGTGGGGCATGAAGGGAAGAAGGCACTGGTTGAGTGGTGGAGGGCACTTTCTCCGTACCCTGTTTTATCTACTGGGGTTCCACTCCAGATTGCATTTAAACAAAGGGTCCTGTTGCTTAAAAAAGAAAAAGAAAAGTTTGTAAGACACCAGCCTAGATGCTCTTAGAGGGCCTTTCCAGCTTCGACAAGCCAGGATTTGTCATCTCTCTCGCCCCAGAAAGTGCCCATGTAAGGAGAAAACAAAACCAATTCTTTCTCTCTGGATTTAGGGCTATCTTTCCTTTTGTTTCTAGAGTCACTTCCCACCTTCCCCCTCCCCAGGAAGACTAGGGGGCTCACATAACCTCCCCCACCTCACCTCTACTTCCTCATCTAGCAAATGGGGACTCACACAGCACGTCAGTATTGGGGTTTTAAGGAGAGGCTTGTATTCAAGGAGTTGACCTCTGAGCGGTGGCTTGTTGACTGCGTTGCCTCTCTGGGCATCACTCCTGGCTCGTGGCTGGGGTTTGCAAGCAGAGGGTGAGGACTGCTCTGTGGTGAGGAGCCGGTGTGCTGTGAGACATCTAATTAACCATCATCTTCCCTGGAGACAGCTCCATTGTGTAATTTTCATTTCCATATTTTACACACCCTTCATCAGCGAGAGAGACCCGGGGCCAACCTTTCACTAACTTCATTATTTGTTTGCCTTCCAGCTGTGCCAATTGCCCCCCTCTCATCTTTCCACGCTTCCCACCCACCAGGGAACATGCCTGCTGGCAGGCGGGGTAGGGGTGCAGGGAATAGCTTTTGCACGTTGCTTCAAAGACCCATCTCCAAGACCAGCACACTGAGCACAGCCATATGGGTTGGATTTCCTATCTGACTCAGGGGTTGGGGTCAGTGATGGCTTACCCTCATGTACCATCTGTTTATAAGATAGATGTGGTGTGGTGTCAAAGACACTAGGTTTGACATCATACAGGATCCATAATTTTTCAGCAATTTAATTCACCTCTCTGAGCCTCGGCTTCCTTATCAGTTAAATCAGGACCCTAATACCTTGCATTATGAGGCTCTATCCTTCAACAAGTACTTATTCGGTTCCCCTGGAATGAAGTAACAGGTGGTAGAGCTTTGCAAACTGAAAGTCCTGTCTAAATAGGAGTTCTCACAATTGCTGTCAGTTGTTGATAATTCAAGGAGCTTTTATTCAAGTTTAGATTAGGCAGACTCATTATTATGAGCTTATTAGACTGGCCAACCTCTTCCTGGCCTGCTGTTACCTGCTTTGTGGTTTTCATCTTGGTCAGAGAGGCTGATTCCTTGGAGGAAGCCCAATAGGGAGAGACTTACATCTCAAAGCTACTATTGACGGTAGCCGTTTCTATCCCATTAGGCTCCGCATTACCTCTTTCTTACTTAGAAAATGAAGTAGTCAGCACTGGGCTAGAAACCATGGGTGCTATAAAGAAATATAAGCCCAGGTCCCTGACTTCCACACACTTCACCTAGTTGGGAGGGAAAAGATCCCCACAGCATTGAGCAAGCACCATTTTTATGAGCAAGGTTCAATCCCCAGTACCTCCACTGAAAAAAAAACCAAACTCTACCCCTTTAAGTGGGCATTATTAGTCCCACTTCACAGATGAGGCCCAGAGTACAGCTTATCCAAGGCCACATGGCTGAGTAAGTGGTTCAGCCTGAGGAAGCTGCCTCCCTTTGACACTGGACTATGATCATCTGCCCTATGTCTACCTCCTGCCCTAGAATCTGAGCTCTGGGCTCCTTAGGGGCAGAGGCTGCATCTTTTCATCACAGTGCCTGGCACTGGTCCCATTTAAGATGCTGCCACTAAGATATCTCATTCTGGGCCCCAAAGTCCTCCCAGTCTCTCTCCACTAACCTCCCTCCTGGTCATATCCCAGAAGGACTTTTGCTTTCCTGATCTCGCCGCCAGCAGTTCAGGGGCCTCTGCTCGGCTGCCAGGTCGTTGAGGCAAGCAAAGGCCTGACTGGGGCCTGGGGCTCCTGGCTGCACTCCTGGATCTGTCTCCCCAGACAGAGGGGGAGGTCCCTGGCATTCCGGACCCTGGGCCCTTACCTGCCAGCAGGGCCGGGGGCTGCTCGGCCCGCCAAGAGGCTGCGCCGCTCACAGCTGCCAGTGGAGACAGAGCCCAGGAGGGCCTGGTCAGCGGTTGCCTGGGGGTTGAGCAATGCGCTGGCTCCAGTCTGGCTCCCTCATCTGAGGAATCAGGGGAGCCTGACCCAACAGCCCAGTGTTTGTTTCCGCAGTGTCTGGGGCAGCTGTGCAAATCAGGCCTGCCTGACAGAGCCCGGCCCAGGGAAAAGCAGCCTGTTCCTTCCCTCTCCTCCGAAGTCTGTGTTCAACGGCTCACTGCCGGGGAGGCAGGGAAGCACTCTGTGTATTCTGCTCGGGCCAGGAGTGATGTGTGGGCCTCACATCTGTGCAGGGTCTAGGCCTGGGGTGTCAGGGAGAAACCAGGCAAGTCTGGCTTCAGCCTTTGTCCTCTGAGAGGCACTGGGAGGAGCCCCTATTCAGAATTCAGACAGGCCTGGTTTGGATTCCAGCTCTGCTGCTTACCAGCTGTGTGGCCTTGGACAAGTCACTTAACTTCTCTGAGCCAAATGAGGATAATAGCAGCAAACTTACAGGATAGTTGTCAGGGTAGACTCACTGAAATAATGCATTTAAATTTCCTGAAATTGGGGGTTGGGGACTAACAGACACACATTACTGTATGTAAAGTGGATGAACAGCAAGGACCTACTGTGTAGTGTGGGAACCGTGTTCAGTTTCTTGTGATGACGTAGTGGAGAGGAGTCTGAAAGGGGTCTGTATGTATGTGTGTGTAGCTGAATCACTTCTCTGGAACTGACACTGTGAATCAACTACACTTCAATAAAATTAAAAAAATAGATAGATAGATAGCTAAATTTCCTGTCACATAGTAGATGCTTAATAAAGGTACGTTCCTTTCTCCTTTCTTGCCATGACAGTTTCCTAACTTTCTCTTGCCCCTCACCTGTGTCCACAGCACACAGAGAACCCAGAGCCCTGGCTTCTGCATTGACTGCTGTCGGGTAGGTTTGCCTCACAGGTTTCCCTACAGCCTGGACTGCTGCACCTGGGCGTCCCACGCTGTCCTCAGCACACACACGTGAGGGAGGTGGCATTATGTAAATGTGTAGGTTATTATCAAGGAACTGCCCATCGCAAATCTGTGTATTAACTCACTCTATTTACTTATCCATTTATTCATCTATGCAAAAAACACTTACTCAGCTTTTATTCTGGGAGAGGCTTGTTCTGAACAAGACCCACTCCCTGCCCAGAGTCTACTAACTGGAGGAGGTGGACAAGCGAAGAGACAATTAAATTCCGTGGGTTCGCTATGCTGGCAGGAGAAGAGCACAGAATGCTGGGACCCTTCAAAGATGCAGTTTCTACCTTAGCCTGGAGAACTAAGGTAGGCTTCCCAGAAGAGGTGATGCCAGGGTATTGAAGGATAATTAGGTATTTTTCAGGCAGAAAATAAAGGGAAATATGTTATAGGGAGAGAGAACACACAGCAAGGCCGCTTGGCTAAGAGAACATGCCCATGTGTGTGTTAGAGCTCATTAACTGCTGTAATGAATATCCTAAAAATGTTAGTGATTTCATACAATAAAAGGATGTTTCTTGCTCATGCCGTGGTCCAACACTGGTGTTCCTGGTTGGCTGGTTCCAGATGGCTCTTTTCCACGCAACGATTTGGGGACCCAGGCACCCTCCATCTATGACTCTGTCATCTTTTAGGGCCTCTGTATCCACCACTTCTAGCCATGTCCCCAGGAAGAAAATGAAATGGCTTTTGGTGAAGACATAGTAGTACCTCCATCAACCTGTGTGAAGAATTTCTAGGAGATGGGGAAATTTGGAACAACAGTTATTAAACAGGGAGTGGTGAGACATATGGTTGTACTATAGGCAAGACCAGAGGGTGTGGGTAATACAGCCAAGCTCAGGACTTTGAATTTTATCCTGCAAGTAGTGCAGCATCATCAGAAATTCGTAAGCAGGCAACTGACATCATCCAATTTGCTTTTTTAGATCAATTAGTCCAGCTGCAGTGCGGAGGCTAGATCGGAGGGAGAGAGGCTGGAGGCAATGGGACCAGTCAGAAAAGTATTCTGGTAACCCAGGCCATCTTATCTAAGGATAGGTGAACAATGTGGTGATGGGGAGGGAGGGAGAGGGGGCATTGGAAGTTGCCCTAAGAGGCAGTCTGGGTCATGGATTGGAGGATTGGAGTCTGCACTGCAACAAAGCCTCAAATAGCTTTTGGGTTCATGTCTAGTGCAATGGCTAATTGAACCTCATGCTCATGAGATTATAGTCAATACAGAGCAGCTTATTTGAGCTCTGTGTTTCCACAAGCCTGAATCTCATCCATTAGGGATCTGGTCAATAGATTTGTTCTGTGCAATTGCTAGCTTTTGGAGAAATCAGGGTTGTTTGTGATGTTCTCTGAACACCTATGTCTTTATTTCTGTATTGCACTCTGTTGTCTGTGTCTGTCTCTCCACCTTTGTCTCCCCTAGAGAAGCAAGGATTGTCCCTGAGTGTCAGTGGGGGGGTGAGATTTTCTTACCCTTGGAAAGAGGCTCTGTGTGTGTGGTTCTCTGTACTCGCCAACTTCAGGTAGCCCTGCATGTAACTCAGGGCACATCACCCATGAAAGGGCCCTGATGGCCACAGGTCTTGAGCCCAGGAGGCTGCCAGCTTGCTTCACACGGAGAAAGAGAAGAGATTCAAGTCTCTACAAGCAGTTCTTTACTTGGAATATTAGGGAGTGAGTTCTGCAATCTTTTAAGTCTTTCACTCGCTCTGAAGGGTGCTAGAACTTGAGGCTGCCTCGGATTTTCCAGGTTAATATACACAGTCTGGTTGGTCCAGATCCACTTAATATATAGACCCACACCTCATGAAGTGTGATAATGAATTTCCTCTTGAAAGAAGGGAGCTTCAGTGCTGGAAGTTGAAAATATGCAACTGGGACAGAGTTGATGGGGTCTGAACGTAACACAACACATCAGCTCCAAGTTAAGGTTTTCATGAAGCAGCTGGTAAAAGTACCTCTGGATCTTCTTTCTCTGTTCCATTCAAGAGTTGGGGTGTGGTCTCTTGGCCACGTGAAGGGCCATGAACTTCTGCCTGGCTTGACCTCTAGTCTCTGTGTTCCCTGGCTGCCAGTCTTGCCTCCACCTTCAGTCTCTGCATCCCTCTCTTTAGCCTCTGTGTTTGCAAACCCCTGACACCTTGTCCCCCACATTGGGGTGGACAAGTAGATTGGCTTTCATTTCAGGTATAGATTTCTGACTAAGTAATTATAGCTATAATTTATTGAGCACTTACTATGTGCTAAACATTCTACCTTTGTTATCTTATTAAATCCTCAGAATAACCCTGGGAAATACATATTATTGCCCAACTTGTAATGGACATTCACAGGATTATATGCCTCAAACTCCATTTTCTAGGAATCCCTTCCACAAACCCATGTGATTTCAGTAGAAGCTACTAGATTTCTATGTGACCCCTCCCCTTTGGGCCCACGTGATTGATCCTGGGGTGAACCTGTCAAAAGTTGAGACAATCATTCCCTTCCCTGGGAAGTTTGGTGCTAGGACTGAAAGGAGGAGATCAGTTTCTCTTCCAGTATCTGAACATTAATAAGTAAGACATAGGGACCTTCATAGCCATGCTTGCCACCACATGAACCAAAAAAAGCAAGTTTTGAGCTTGAGAAAACATAACTTGGTGGAAGCAATAAAGTGATATAAGAAGACAGATATGTTGGAGTAAGACAGATCAGAATTTGAAGGCTCACTCTGCCGATTATAGCCATGTGGTTTGGACCAGTAATACTATTACTAATATTATCTAACACTTAAATGAAGTCCTTATTACATACCAGACACTGTTCCAAATGCTGTATAGGCAGGCTTATACACATCACATATTTGTCTTCACAAAAACATTAGACAGTTTGTATTATCATCCCTCCTTTATTCCCATGAAGACACTGAGGCCCAGTGTAGTGTACAGTGTACCCAAACATACCAGGTGGTTGGGTGCATCTCTTGAGCCTTAACTTATTCATCTGGAAGTAGAGAGAGTACCAGCCCCTGTGCAGAGAAGCATCAACACAGCAGACTGATCCTGTGATCCTTAGAGAGGCCTGCTCACAAGGTTGGCCCTTATCTGCTGGATTTCCAGAGGGTTCCCACCATTCCCCTATATGCCTAAAATGTTTGTGCAAACAATTTGGCTTTTGCTTGAGGACCCCTGACACAGCTCTATGTCAGGTTTGTTATATGAAGTAGAGGATGAAGTTGATTCACTGCTTTGGGGAGGGTTTGGCTGCCAGGAGCACCTGTGAAATGGCTTGACCCTCTGAGAGCTGCCCCACGAGGCAGGCACAGCCTGCACAGCTCGTGCGAGCTCCGTGCAGCTCTTTCCCTACCACCATGACTATTTTTAACCCTCCAACAATTGCACTTTAGGACCGGCATCCTCTGCAGAATGGCAAAATATTTCTAGATATTTTATCAACAAAGGAAGTGCTTATTTCTAGAGGCTTTCCAGTTTTTAATAAGGTTGTGCATTCTCCGTTGCCATATTTTAAGGTTGATTCTCTGGGAAACTGACTGCCACAGGCCTGCTGACATGGAGGTGACAGAAACAGATCCACCCCCAGCAGAGGCTTCAGTGGTCTCCTGCTTCCTTCAGCAGTGTGGGGAATGGAGGCTCAGAGGGAAGCTCTCACGGGAGGCCCACGGCAGAGTGAGGGCTGGCCCCAGGGCTGGGCACAGTGATCTCCCAGCGCTGCCCTCCCTCACCTGTTCCAGCAGAGCCAGGTGACCCCCACTGACCAGCCCTGTGCGTGATCAGGAACATGGAGTGGGGTGTGGGGCAAATGTGGAGAAAGGGCCCAACCATTGGATCTCCTTCTAGGACCTGGCAACAGGGTATAAACCTTCTGTTCCATCTATGACCTGGTTGGCAGCCAAGGGATGGCTTATTTGAATTCAGCAGGGCTGTGGGGAAGAAGGGGAGGTAACGGCCTCCTGCTCACTTGCCAAAACCAGTGTGTGTATGTACATGAAGCCAGGTCCACGAGCTCCAACGAAGAAAGACAGAACCCATTAAGCAGGTAATTGAATTCAAAAACACTATTTGGGCTTTAACACATCTAAATGATTCAGGGCAAAGTGGGGCCTGGGGGCTTAAGTTACCCAGATAACAAATTCCATCTCATAACTCAGTCATCTGGAATGGCATTTCCCAAAGCAGAACTATTAATCATTAGTGTTCCGGGAATAAAAGTTGCCTTGGTCAATAAGTTTAGGTGATGTGCTAGCCAACCAGACTGAATGGGTGTCTTTACTGGAGGACTTCTCAGAGCCTGTTCGTGCGTATCATGAAACGCCAAGAGAAGATTATAGTACAGTATTTTATTATAGTGTATACACACATATACATATATTATGTATGTATCTATAGTGTTTGTGTGTGTATATATATATTTTATATATATATATATAATATATATATATATATATATAATGCTATATATTACTATACACAGCATTGCCCAGACTTATTCACCTGAAGATTCCTCTTCCCATGCAGTGTCTTATGGGATCATGATTTCAGAGCCTACTTTGACAAACACGGCTCT